TATTTACATTCACTCACATTGTCTGAAGCATTAGGAGTCATCTGGAGGTGATTTACAGCCAGGATGTGCACAGGTTACATGCAAACACTAGCTTAGGTAAACTCAGGAGATAGGGGTGGAGGTGCGGGCTGGAGGTCCAGCTGTCTGCCTAGTGCCCCAAACCTGGCCTACTTTGGGGTCTGTCAGAAAAGCTTCCAGTATAACAAGATCTAAACCGGCCCACCAGCACAGCACCCCCACAAGCCCCTTGCCTGGCATCCTTCCCAGGAGCCTCAGGCCCCCTAGGTTTTATGACCAAGTCAGGAATCAACTCACAATAGCATGGACTCGGGTTTAAAAATACTAGGCCAAGCGGAAGTAAGGTTACTGCCTGGGGCAGAGCTCTTTCCGGAGGAGGAGAAGGACAGCGGGGAGGGGAGGGGAGGACACCAGAGAGGATGCTGGGGAGCCCAGGAGGAAGTGGAAACCTAGGTTTTCAACTATTAAGCAGGAGAGGAGGTGAAAGGAGAGGGGCTGGGAAGGCCTGCCAGTGCCCAGGACTCAATCTCCGCCTGGGGTTTGTCTAAACAGGGATGGGGGGGGGACACAGGACATCACATTCCTCCAAAGCCAGCTCAGCTCTGCAGGCACCTGAGGTGTGAGCAGCAGCTGGCAAGGCCCCCTTTGCTCTCCGGGGGTCCAGGAGGCTTCAGAGCCTGGCCCTCAGCAAGAGTAAGGGGCAAAGGGGACCTCTGCTAGTTTATTTCATTTTATTTTAAAAATTACCCCACACAGGCACACCCTTCAAGCTATTACTGCCTTCTGGGAGTCTAGCCTGAGACTCAGTTGAGAATACAGGAAAACTTTGCAAGCAAAGCCGTCCATCTTGGTACCCTCAGTTATGCTGAGCCCCCGCGTGTCAGGGAGGGATCGTGTCCTAGCTCTGAAGCTAAGTCTGCAGAAAGACCTGGTGAGCGCAGGCACCTTCACCCTACTGACCAGAGGGAGTCTGAATAGCGAGCGGGCTAGTGAGGCACTGCAGCACCCTCCACACCTTTCTAGAACCTTCCTCCAGGCTGCAGCCCTTCCTGCATCGTGGCCAGGAGCACAATGGGTAAGGTGTCCACCTCCTGTCCACACTCCTGTCCTGTGCACTTCCTGTCCACACGACTTGCATGAAACTGTGCCACCAATGAAGCTTCTGAGTAGCGTGCCCTCGATGCATTGAGGGTTCTGGTTTTCACACATGAGAGGAAGGACAGTCTGTCTTACATTACAGGTTATGTAAAGAGCCTATGCCTACCACACCGCAAGGCACGATATAAGCACCTGATCAATTTTAACTTGTTAGAACACACAGACAAGGAGCCAGGCTCATGCCTGTAATCTCAGATACTCTGGAGGCAAAAGATTGGGAGGAATGTAGTTCAAGGCCAGTCAGTCCTGGCAAAAATTTTTGTGAGATACCCCATCTCAATCAATAAAGCTGGGTGTAGTGGCAGGTGCATGTCATCCTAGCTATGCAGGAAGTACAAATAGGAGGATGGTCCAGGCAGAGGGGGCATAAACTGCAAGAGCCTATTTCAAAAATAATCAAAGCAAAAATGACTGGGGGCATGGCTCAAATGGTAGAGCTCCTGCCCACCAAGCATGCAAGGCCAAAAATTAAAAAAAAAAGAAGGAAGAACGCAGGCGGTCCTGGGGCTAGAACCAGAGACTCGTGCTTGCTAGCAAGAGCTCCTCCACTTGGGCTGTGCTGTGCACCAGCCCTTTTGTTTGTATATTGTTTTTGAGATGGGGTGGTGTAGCTAACTTTGCCTGGACTGGCCTTGAACTCAAGATCCTGCTGTGTCTACCTGCTGAGTAGCTGGGATTACCTGGGATTACAGGCGTGAAGCACCATGCACATGCAAGCCAAAGCATTTCTGCTGAAGGCAGCATTCACATCCACATAACCGACATTTCCTCTCCCCTATACTCCGTCTTCAGAGGGGAGATGATTTTTCATGATAAGGATTTTGAAGCAGCTGGGGCCGGCGGCTCACGTCTGTAATCCTAAATACTCAGGAGGCAGAGGTCAGGAGGATACAAGTTTGAAGCCAGCCTGGGCAAATAGTTCAGGAGACCTTATTTTGAAAAAAAAAAAAAAAAAATCACAAAAATGGGCTGGTGGAGTGGCTCAAGGTGTAGGCCTTGAGTTTAAATCCCAGTGCTGCCAAAAAAAAAAAAAAACTTTGCAAATTTGAAGCCATTTCTTGTGAGCTTTGCCCCATATTCTAGTAATGGACTGGAAATGATTTTCTTTGGAAGCCAACTTGCCTTCACATCCAGATGGGTGAGAATGACCTTGGCTTTGTACTAAATCAAGCCTCTCCTCCTCTTTTTCTCCTGAGGCAGATGGATACAGGCTTATCAAAAAGGCAGAGAGAAAAAGGGCTCCACTTCCTACAAACTGTGGCCTGACCACACTCATGAGCTTAGACTTCCAAGTGTCACAGCAGTCCCCAGGAAGGCCCTCCTCACCCTGCTGCTCTTTCTAGGAGATGGTGCTGGCTGTCTTCTCCAGCTCATAGCCAACTGCCTTCCCTGGCACCACATTAAAAATGGGTGTCAGGTCCTGGGGTTTCTGGCTTGTGTTACTACAGCCAGCAGGCCAGGGGACCACACAGTGGTACAGGGAGTGTACAGGACCCTTGGTTAGAGGGGTGGCCGGTCCTGGTGAACCTTGAGTGGCTAAGGAGAGAGCTTGGGTTCTCATCCCTCCCCCTCTGGCCCCAGCACCCCTCCTGCAACATAGGCTTTGGTTAGATCAGAGTCTCGTGCTCAGGTCAAATAAGCAGCACAGTCATGTGTCTGCCACTTAACGACAGGGACAAATTCTATAAGTGCATGGTTAGGTGACATGCACTTAGACCAGTGGAGACAGTACAGCCTCCACACCTGGGCTGATGGGCATTTTAGATATAAGACGGGGAGTTGCAAGCAACACGAGGTCATACAGGAGAATGAGGAAGCCAAGACACAGAACGAGGACAGGCACCGAGAGACAGGGCACACTGTTTTATAGTGAACTTTGCTTTGAAGGCTGGAGTCCACTCAGAAATGACAACAAAAAGTATCACTAATAAGTGTCACAGCAAGTCATTTGTCATTGAGCACCACTCGGCACATGCTGCACTGGGCACACCCTAATGTGGTGGCCACACCGCTTGTTTGCCCAGTGTCCCCACAGACACCTGCGGACTGTGTGGCCTGTGACGGGAGCAGGTTCCACTGGGTGGCAGGAATTTTCAGCTGTGTTAATCTCATGGGACCATCTTTGCATATGCGGTCCATCACTCACTAGGGTGATATGGCCTCAAATGTATTTCAAATTGTTGGGATGCTTCGGGGCTCACACGACCGTCTTTTCTTCCTTTCCCTTGTTTCAGTTATTAGGAAATGATGGGTTCTGAGGTGGGGGAGCGGGCTGAGGTGGGCCCTCTGGGGACTGTAGCACTCTTTAGCAGGGCTCCATGCTGTGGAGCTCCTACACAGGGGTAGCTCACTGTGGGGAGCCAAAGTTCTGCATAAAGGTTTAAATGAAAATGAACCACTTGAGGCCAGGATAGACAGGGGAGGAGGAGGGCAACTGAGCATTAAAGAGAGAGAACCATCCCAGAACGGGCATGCACCTAAACACCCGCAAGTGAGGAGCTGACCAGGGGCCCTCCAGGGTCTTGGCTCCTCTGCAGGAGCAGGGTGTTCAAGGCAGGGTGACAGGCAGAGCTGCAGGCAGAGGGAATTTCCTGGTGCCACTGGGAGGATGCAGCTGGAGTGGACTGTGGTGGCCTGGGGGACTCAACTGTGTGCAAAGCCAGCCAGCACAGAAGGGCAGCAAGTGAATTCAGCCCCAAAGCCCCTCCAGCCACAGAACCTTTGCTCCATGGGGGTTCCCCAGCCCTGTACAGGAAGTGCTGTGGAGATGGTAGGGCAGAAACATGCATCCGCCTGGGCCTTAAAACTGCTACCCCTGTAGGTGCAGTGGTTCTCAGACTGTGATTAGCTTCAGAAGCCCTGGGAACTTGCTAAAAGGTAGACTCTAACTTAGAAGTCTGGAGGGCACCAGCGCCAGTCTTCCAGGGGTCACACATTGGCAAGGAGCCTCCAGATCAACCTCCAGTCAAAGAAGGAAGATCCTGACCTGGAGGCCCGGACAAGCCCTCTCTGGCTTCCTTGTTCAAAGGGCAGTCTTGGGGTCACAGTGGCCCCCTGTAGCGAGTGTTGGCTGGCTTTGGACAGAGGCACACTCCTGGAGGTATACACCAGCTGCACAAGTGGGGGTCTCCCAGTAAGTTTCCTAGGTGTTGTGGGGATGCAGTGGCTGGAGCCTGTAGTAGGAGCTACTTGGGAGGGTGAGGCAGGAGGGCTGCTCAAGCAGGGCCTGGGCAACAGGTGAGCCAACAGACCAGCTCGAACAAACAGGTCTTCCCAGGTGAAAGGCCATTAGGGTAAGGTGTCCAGCGGTAGGTGTCTGTGCGCTGTAAGCGACTAAGGCCGCAGAGGAACCCCGAAAGCTGTCCGCTGTTCGCGAGTCTCCCCGCGGTCGGCTCTGCCCCGCCCACCCCTGGGGGACAGGTGACTGCTGGCCCTTCCGCCCCTGTGACCGCGGGGCCACATCTGCTCCTGAAGCTGCACTCACAGGCCTGACCTCGCCCCTGACAAGCCGCAGTCCACCTTCCTGCGTCACTGTCACCCAGACCCCCACTGTCCCCAGCTCCTGACCACCGAGCCCAGCATCCGGCCACTGTCCCCAGCGCCTCGCATTCGTGCAGCATCCGTGTGGCCTCGCTGCTCGCCTCCTGCCCAGGGCCACGGGACGCCTGGCGGCCGTGTCACGCTCGGGTCCCCGCGTCCCTTTGTCTCCCCCTGCGGCGCGGAGCGGTGCGGGGCGCAGGCAGCGCCGGAGGCCGGGCCGGGTGGGGGCGGCGCACGGCCCGGGGCCCCAGTGCGAGTTCCCAAAGCGAGGACCGCCCGCTCACCTTGTAGACCTTGCCGAAGGCGCCGTCGCCCAGCTCGCCCACGATGTCCCACACCTCGCTGGGGTCCAGGTCCCGGCGGACGTGCTCGTACTCGCGCGACTTTCTCTTCTCGAAGGTGGACAGGCGCAGGATGCGGCGGAAATTGGCGAAAGCCATGGCTGAGCGCGCGAGCCGGGGGTGCGGTGGCCCGGCCCGGTTCGGCTCGGTTGGGCTTGGCTTGGCCCGGCTCAGCCCGCAGCAGCAGCGCCTGCAGGACGCCTTCCCCGAGCACACCCGGGTCCAGTGCGCGCCGGCAGCGCGGCGGCCGAGACCCGGAACCGCGCCCCGCCCCGCGCCGCCCCGCGCCGCCCCGCGCCGCCCGCGCCGCCCCGCCCCGCCCGCTCGCCCCGAGGCCACGCCCCCCCGGTCCCGCCCCACCTGCCGCGCCCCGAGCCTCTGCATTGGCTGCGGGCTCCCGGCCCCGCCCATCTTCGCGGGGCACTCTGGGAACTGTAGTCCCCGCGCCTCCCTCCGCGGCCGCGCTAGTCTGGGGGACTCCGCTTCCCCGCGCAGCGCTAGGACGCTTGTCGGTGCGCGAGGGACACAGGCTGGTGATGAGCGGACGCCGGAGTCGCCGCCGGTGCCAAGAGAACCGCACACACGGAACCGCCCGCAGCTCCCCCCGCTTTGCAAATGGGGCGCCCGGGGCCGCTCGCCCCACTCTACAGACCGGGTCTCCGGGGCCGAGGGCGCGCGCTCTGGGGCGCTTTGGGAGCGCGGTGCTGCCTCCTAGCGCGCAAAACGCCGCGCCCGGGTTCCCCTCTTCCCGGTCAGGAACCCGCCGGGCTGGGGACGAAGGACTAGCGGGGGACGTCCTGTCTCAGGCTTCCCGGTGAGTTAGCAGATGCGTTTCGTGCTAAATAAAAACTTCCTCATTGTGCTTTTCCCAGTTTTAAACGGAGACACCTGGTGGCTGCCTGCAAAGCCTGTCCTGGTGACCGTCAGCAGCCCGCTGGGCTCAACAGTGTCCCGGTGCTTTGCTGGACAAGCCCCCGGGCCATTTGCAGATCCAGCTAAGGACGCCTGTCTGGATGGAGTGCCCGCGGCCCACCAGGTCCCCCGATGAATGCGGTCGTGGGACGTTCGGTCACCAGGAGGAGGAAATGGCCTCACTGTGGGGTGCGAGACCCGCAGCGCGGAGCCCCAGCCCTGCCAGTTCCAGAAGGAAAGAACTGAGAAACAAAGTAGAAAGGGCCCTTCAGAAATGTCGTGCCCATGAAAGAATCCTGCTCCAAAGACCACGTGAGGTCTAGAAAAGGGACCCTGCAGACAGATGAGCGCCCCTCCCCGAACGCACTCGGGAGGTGAGCAAAGGGTCTCAAGTTCAAGGCCAGCCTAGGATACAAAATGAGACACTGTCTCAAAAGGAAAAACAAACAAAACCCACCGTACTTAAACCAGGCCTGAAATGCTCAGGAAGGAGGCAGGGGCAGGGGGATGGCAAGTTTGTCAGCCTGTCTCAAAAAACATTCGTGTAATAAAAATGCACCATTTGAAGTATAGTGTTCACTGAGTTTTAAGTCTGTATTGTCACCACAGGCAGGACAGAACTTGTCCCTCACCCCAAACTCCTCATGCCTCCCTCGCCCCAAACTCCTCACAGCTCTGTCATCACCCCAAAACTTCCCACAGCTCCCTCACCCCAGAGCCCCTCACACCTCTTCACAGTCAGTACCCATTGCCACCCCTCTCGCTTTTTCTCTGTGGACTGGGGATGGAGCCCAGAGCCTGGCACAAGCTGGGCAAGTCCCTGCCCGTGAGGAGCACAGCTCAAATTTTGCAAACCCAGACCGTTTTCTGTCGCCATATACTGAATTGTCTTTCTACTAGGTCACGTCAATGGAATCACACCGTGTTTTTTGTGCCCGGCCTGTGTTTGTTTCCAGTGCTGGAATTGAACCAGCGCCTTGTCCACGCTGGGCACACACCCTACTGCTGAGCTGCACCTTAGCCCCCAGCCCCACCCCCGCTTCTCTGCACCCAGCCATGTTGAGTCGCTGGGCTGTGGAAAGTGCTCTGGGTTCATTCTTTTTCATTGCTGGGTAAATGTCCATTCGTGAAGGGCATCTGAGTTGCTTTGGTCTTTGGTTATTATGGAGGAAGCTGCTGTGAACATTTGTGAGTCTTTGCGTGGAAGCATGGGGTCTGGAACAAGCTACCCCAACGCGGCATGCTGTCACTTGAGGAAACAGCAGAAGTGCTCTCACCTTCCCTTTTCTTCTCAGAAGCAGGGCCTAAGAGAAGGAGCTGCACTTGGAGCTGCCAGGAGAGTTGAAGGAGCAGGCCCCGCTTGCCGTGTCCCCGTGCACCACCTCTGTCCCTTAGCCCGCCTCCCCGCGAAGGACAGGCCACTCTACTGAAGCATGAAGCTGCACGCATTTCTCCCCCGATCACGGGAAGCTTACTAAATAAATCCGCATGCGTTTCTCTTGCTAATGCGTCTTGTCACAGGGCCTCACTACGAACCTGGAGGTGAACGAGGGAACACATTGCCCCACAGCCTCGGGCGCAGTTGCTGGTCCTGTGCCAAGTGTGCAGCTAACTTTGCAAGGACCGCCCGCGTGTTTTACGAGGTGGTTATTGTCTCGTGTTTCTGTGAATGAGGAGTTCCACTTGGCCCCTCCATCTCTGCTGCCAGTCCTGCAAGTGTGTGGTTTTGACCCTGTCACCTGGGGTCAGCGCAGACCTCGTAGGTTAAGGGCCCAGTCCCACAAGACTGCCCCACTCCACACACAGTGCAGGCTGTCCTCACTGGCCGTGCACCAGAGGTCCCCATGATTCGTGGGGTATATGCATGTATGTGTTGCAGGGCTGGGGATCGAACCCAGGGCCTTGCACATGCCTGGCAAGTGCTCTGCCACTGAGGCCCGCCTCGGCCCTAGGAGTAAATTGAAATTTTCGTGAGTGTCCGTGGAGAGAGCATGCGTGCTGTGTTGTGTAAGCCAGCGCTTCTCAGAACGGGAGGTTACTGAACACCGCTCCCAACGCAGTGCACAGCAGCTGCCTGAGGCTGCGTCCCTGTCCCTGTCCCTGTCCCTGATCGCAGCACCACGAGCTCCAGTGAAGCCCCCATCACGGCACTGTGCCTTCAGGACAGCAGCAGCTTTCCTCTCTCTGGGCTGTCCCTTCAAGTTCGGTTCCCTGGGCCAAGCTAAGGAGCTCAGTCCATCCGGAGTCCTAAAAAGCAGTGACGCTGACGCCACCCTCGGTCAACTTGGTGACTTGGCAAAGCCTCAGTTTCTCAGTCTGTATCAGGTGGAGGAATGGTAACCTTTAACCCCACACTGCACACTAGGCCGCTCAGCTTGAGAAAGACAAAAGCCAAAGTCTGTGGACAGCGCCTTCCATCCTCCGCCCTCATCCTCTGCCTATCTCTCCGGATTCAATTACATGTACTTCAGACCCTCTGACTTTACCCCTTCTCTTTCTTTCTTTTGGGGGGCAGTACTGGGTTTGAACTTGGGCTCTTGTGCTTGCTAGGCGGGTGCTCTGCCACTTCAGCCACGCCTCCAAGCCCGTTTTGATTTGTGTTATTTTCCCAGAAGGGGTCTTGGATCACAGTCCTCCTACTTATGCCTCTTTCCTAGTTGGATGACAGGTATCCACCACCATGCCCAGCTGTTTGATTGAGATGGGGTCTCTTTGCCCTAGCTAGCCTGTATCTGTGATTCTCCCCGTCTCTGCCTCCTGAATAGCTGGGATTACAGGAATGAGTCACCACACCCAGGCCTCCTTGTGTTTCCCATCTCTCTTCCACTGTATTCTAGTTGCTTCGCATCTACTGACTTAAGCATCTGTTCCATGCTTAAACTCATTTGTCAACTTTTTAATTTATATTATTAAAGTTTTCACTTCTATAAATGAAATGTTGGTCTTTGTCCAAATCCTTTAGTTCACTGTTTTTGCATCTGTGGTGCTGGGGTTCAAACCCAAGGCTCCATGCTCAGCATGGGGAAATACACCCTAGACCTAGTTCACTTTTTTTCTTTTTGGGGTGCTGGGGTTTGAACTCAGGGCTTCACACATCCAAGGCAGGCATTCTATTGCTTGAGTCATGCCTCCAGCCCTTTTCCTCTGGTTAGTTTGGAGATGGGGTCTCACTTTTTGACCACAATCCTATTTTTATGTTTCACTGCTATAGCTGGGATCACAGGCGTGTGTCACCACAGCCAGCATTTTTCAGTTGAAATGGGGTCTCTTCCACTGTCCTGGAACTGAGATCCTCCTGATCTGAGCCTTCTAGGTAGTTGGGATTACAGGTATGAACCACCAGTACCCTGCCCTAGTTCACTTTTTACACATTCTTCTGTCCTGCAATCGCTTTAAAGTATGTCTTATGGGTCAGAAGTGCTGGCTTGTGCCTAAAATCTCAGCTACTTGGTAGGCCGCCTGGGCAAAAAGTCAGTGAGACCCCATCTCAATCAAATAGCTGGGTCTAGTGGTGTGTCTATCATCCCAGCTGTCAGGTGTAGGTAGGAAGATCAAGGTCCGAGGCTAGCTCTGGACAAAAAGCGTGAGCTCTTATCTGAAAAAAACCTAAAGCAAAAAAGTACTGGTGGCGTGGCTTAGAAATGAGTTCAAACCCAGTACTGGAAAATAAAGACACCAAACACTGGCCTAACACATAAGGTCCTGGGTTCCCTCCAGTGTCCTCCCCTGGACAAAGGTGAAATGCCAAGTTTTTACTACATATTTGTTGTTGTGGCACTGAGGTTTGAACTCACAAACCTCACACTCGCTAGGCAGGAGCTCTGCCACTGAGCCGCTCCGCCAGCTGTTTTTATTACTTTAAAAAGTAGAAATGTGATTATTTCATAACCTGTGCCTGGTATTCGGACATCTGCCGGCCGCAGTTGTGGCTCTGTCCGTTGTCTGTAGTTCCTGCTGCTTCTCACTCAGGATGCATTTTCCCTTGATTTTAGTTTCCTTGGAAAATCGTTCCCGGGACTCCCTGGGCCTGCAGAAAGGATGCGTGTTTTCTTTGCTCCGTGCCCAGGACTCTGCTGTGTGTGCAGATCTGTAATTCATGTCCGGGGCTGGCCGGTGCCTGGACGTCCACACCACGTGGGTTGGGCGGCAGGGCAGGGTGTCACTTCTTGGGGTCATTTCACTCTTGCTCTCTCTCGGTGCCACGGCACTGGAGAAATGGGGGCACCCTGTGGGTTGACCCTCACTTTGAGGGTGCACCACTCTGAAGTCCCAGGTCTTCAAATAGCGGGGCTCTCTGCAGCCCCCACTTCCAATGGACTGCAGACTATCTTTAACCACTTCCCACCACACAGGGAGAACCACAGTTGCCCCTCCGCAATGCCTGACATCTTCCTTCTTCAGGGCTGCATATGAATCCATCCCGAAATCACCAGTTACACCTGGCCTTGCCCTTGGTATTGCTGAAACCAGCTGAGACAGGCATCTTTCATTAGCACTTGGTCACGGACATTTTGGTTACTGACTATGGTTATTGGTTCATTAGGTGCTTTTCTTGGTAGTGTGGACTGAACCCAGGGCTGCACATACATGCACTCTGCCTCTTAGGCTCCAACCCTTTTGTTTTCATTTTGTTTTTAAGACAGGGTCTCACCACTGCCTTTGCACAGGTTGGCCTCGAACTTGCAGTCCTCCTGTCTCTGGGATTGAAAGCCTGGCCACCACACCTGGCCGATCAGGGTTTCAAATTCTTTCATAAGTCAGTTAACCCGGAATTACTCCGCGTTTACAGATCCGAGCTGTGCGCTATGGTGGCGTCAGCCCCACTGGCTTTAAGCTCTTGACGCATTGCTAAAGCCGAGATGTGGCAGAAACCTGACCCACGCTGGATTTTAGAGTTCTGAGAACGTGGACTTCAAGCTGAAATAACATTTTGGATACATGGGTTAAAGAAAATGTTATTAAACTGTTTTACTTGTTCTTCTTGCTTTTTAAAGATGTGACTATTAGAATAATTTTAATTACATATGTGAATCTATTGTGATTCACACGATAAATTTATTGGATTTACTGGACAGAGCTGATTAGATTTTTTAATTATTGGTATAGGTTGTGTATAATATTCTTTTGACTGGATTGGGGTTTGAACTCAGGGCTTCACACTTGCAAAGCAGGCTTGAGCCACTCACTCCTCCAGTCCATTTGCTCTGGTCATTTTGGAGATGAGGACTTGAAATCACTTGCCTATGCTGGCCTCCAACCTGGATCCTCCTGATCTCAGCCTCCAAGCAGTTTGGATTACAGGTGTGAAGCACTGGTGCCCGGCCTGTGCACAGTATTCTTAATGTGCTCACTTCCTTCCATCTCCTTTGTTGTCTGTCTTTCACTGAAGCCAGCTTTTGATCTAGCCCTAACCACCAGCTTATAGAAAACACAGGAGACAGAAGAAACACCTGGAAAACCAGAGCCTTTTCTGTGGGTGACAGCCTGGGTCCTCCAACAAGTAGGCTGTGAGATGGCTGAGAGGGAGACGGAAGCCATGTAAGGAACATGACATGTGACCCAAGATCTGTTTGGGTCCCTGACTTGAACTAATCACCTGTTCAAACTTTTAAGAAACTAATTGTTTTAAGAAACAACTAGGGGAATTTGATGACTTTTAGGAACAACTTTTTATCTTTAGGTCTGTAACAGTAAGCAGTCATATCAGCAAAAAAAAAAAAAAATCTCTCTTTTAAAAATGTATATTCAAACAGTCACAAACAGTTGTAATCTGGGATTTGCTTCAAAGCAGCCCAGTGACAGTGGCTTTCTCAGCTGACCATGGCTGACCTGGGTGACAAGGACAGGGAGATGAAGACTTTTTAAGCTAATCTAACTTTGGATGCATTTGAAACACTCCATTCTAAAAGAACAGCAGACAAACAGCCTTGGCTGTTCTCGCCGGCTTTGCTGCCCTGTTTGCTGGCTCACAGATTGGCACTTTGGTCTTTGGACCCCTCCTTGGGTGACTTGGCTTAATCTCAGGTCTTTTGTGTGGACTTCATTTCCTTCTTGTCCAGTGGGTGAGCTTAGGCTGGGGATGGTCTGAGAACCACTGCAGCCCAGCTCAGTTTTCCTGCACATCTCTCTCTCTCTCTCTCTCTCGTTTATACCTCAAGTCAGTGACAGACGGTTGGACAGGAGTGTCCACACCTGGGGAGTGGAGAGGAAGCAGTCCCCTGTGATTGACCCTCTCCTGTGACACGTGGCCTCAGAGGCTGCGGGTCACGGAACCTGGGTCCAGCATTCTGGTTCTGAGGAGGCAGAACCTCCATTGTACTTGACGCAGGGGCCCCTGGTGGCTGGGCGTGACATGGACCTGCGGGAGGGGTCGTTCCTGTGGTACCTGTACCTGGACAAGGTGTACTGCTTGCTGTCTGTGAGGAACGTGAAGGCTTTGGTGGAGTATTTCCACATCCTCGATGTGCACCACAATGACACCATGAACGGTCAGTCCTTCCTGACGCGCAGGAAAACTCGGGGCAGGGGTCTGCGTGGTCAGCAAACACTTGTCCCCTAGGTGATGCACACGGAGTTGGGACCGGGCAGTTCAGGGAGGGGTTAGAGTCTGGCTGCACCCCTTATCCTTGGTGATCTGGGGACTTCTCGAAATCCCTTCATCGGTTTCCTCATCTAGAAGGCACGCTGAGTCCAGGCTCTGGGGTGCAGCTCAGTGGTAGAGTGAGGAGGTCCTGGGCTCCATCCTTAGCACCCCCAAGATGGCGTCCAGCTCACAAAGTGATCATTTAGTGAGGCGATGTATGGCAAGTGCTGAACACGGTGCCTGACGCACAGAAGGACTTAGCAAGTGTCTTTAAGCTGAGCAAGACTTCTTGTCTGTCAAGTGCAACTCCTTCTAATGGTCCTTGTAAGAAACCAGCACTGCCAGTTGGCAGTCCACACACGAACAGGTTCTTGTAGGGCTGGGTAGAAGCAAAGCATCCCACGCGTTCATTCTCTCTGACCTCACAGGGGTAAGTGTCATTTGTGACGAAGGGGATCCTGCCTTCCATAGACAGTTTCTTAAAAGTCCATTTAATGTTAAAAAACCAAACAATAAAGGGGCTTGAGATGTAGCTTGGTGGCTCTGTCTCTTTCAAGCCCCTGGTGCCAGGAAGTAGATAAATAAACGAACACAGGACGAAGTTTTTTCCTCACGGCTCCGTGCCTTGGCTCCTCCTCTGTACACAGATTTGCTGCAATCTTCCAATCAGCCTGGCCCAGATCAGGCAGCAGCAGGACACTGACCTTGACTGAGCTGGGCTTTCTGATCTCAAAGCCCACTCTTGGCCTCACCAGGAGGTTTGCTGAGAACACCCCGATCTCCCCAGTGGCCACATCACTCCTGGTGACCAGAGGTAAAGGTGTGCTCATGTGGTCTGGTCACTAAGGATGGGACAGTGGCCTGAGGACTGGGCAGCCCCTTCAGCTTGGAGCTTGAGTGCCCAGCTTCCTGTGTGCTCGTTCATGCCTGGTGAACATGAACGAACATGAGGCCATGAGAACCCCCAAATCCGGACGTGACCACGGGTTCACTTAGTTTCAGCTGGGACTCCAAACTACGTAGACACATTTCCATATTCAGTGGAGCCAGGAGGTAATTTCTGTAATCAAGAGGCATGTGGAAGTCAGGTGTGGCCAAGGCCGCGCGATGGCCGGCCACAGCCTGCTGCATAAGCGAATCACGTTTGCTCCTGCCAGCTTATGGGGCCACAGGGTCAGTGAGAGAAAGACAGCAAAACCCTTCCCTGCACCATACATGCCAGCATTTTCCCTCTGGATGTGTGTGACTGAACAGGTGTTAACAAGAGGGCAGACAGGGCCCCGCCGCGCACTGGGGAGATAGCAAGGCTGTGGTCACACCGACCCACTGGGATCCCAACTGCACTTGCTCTGTAAGTAACCCTGCGTGGGCCATGTCACCATAGACCTCAGTCCCATGCCACGTTTCCTGAATTGGAAACTAGTTTACAAGACCCCAGTGGCTGGTGTACCCATTTAAGGGGTATGGTGCTACTGTCCTTGTAAGGTTGCTAGGGTTCTCTGAGACTTGGCATTTCAAGTGCCTAACACGGAGATGTAGCTCAAAGGTAGGTGCCTGGCTAGCATGCACAAGGTCCTAGGTTCAATCCCCAGCACTGGAAGAAAAAATTAAGCCAGGCTTTGTGATGTATGCCTGTGACCCCAGCATGTGTGAGGCTAAGGAAAGAGGACTGTAAGTTCGGGCCAGCCAGGGCTAAAATGCAAGACCCTGTTCCACCCTCCCCCGCCAACAAATAAACCAAGCAACCAAACAAACAAATCCCAACAAAACAACCCTGTGTAACACATAAGCAACTCTTCTTTTACAAAGAGAGGCAACGGGGCAGGCCGGGGCTGCTGGAAGGCTCGCTCCCTCCTGCAGAGCCAAATGCATTTGCTGAAATAAGCACAGCAGTGATTCCTAGGTTTCTCATTGCAATTATCTACAGGGAAAGGCCCAGGTAAAACTGGCTTCTCCAAGCCTCGTGCCCGTGACGCGAGCAGCCTGGTGCTCCATCCCCACACACAGGGGTCGGGGACCCAGCACTAATCACTGACGTCCCCACCCTGCTCAAGGGCAGTTGTGGCAGACACGTGGGGAAGCCAGAAACAAAACATCACCTTCTTCCCAGGCCAAGAAGCTTCTGACAGTGCTTCTGCTTTCATGAAGCCCAGGTGTTTGGCCACTTGGAATGCTCCAGAGTGATCGATAGCCTCCCCTCCCCTCCACAGATGTGCTGTTTTATCACTTTCTCCACCACGTGACCAAGTTGAAATCGAGACAGATCAGGATTGTGTTTGACATGCTGGACTGGATGGCCGTGGGTGAGATTGGTTTTGACCAATTCTACGTGTTGGTTTGCATCCTGCTGTCGCACCAGGCAAGTACCCGGTTAGGACCTGGACCTGGGGCTGCACTACCTTGCTCAAGCTGACAAAGAAGTAGGAAGGCACCAGAGCCTTTTCCCTTTCACTTCAGTGCAAGCAGGAGGAAGAAAAGAAAGTGAGGGGATTAACTTTGTTCCTGATTTTTGTTTTGTTTTGTTTTGACAGCACTGGGGTTTGAACTCAGGGCCCCACACTTGCTAGGCAGGTAATCTTACCACTTGAGCCATTCCACCAGCCCTTTTTCATGAAGGATTTTTCAAGATAGGGTCTGTTGGACTATTTGCACAGGGCTGGCTTTGAACCGTGATCCTCCTGATCTCTGCCTCCTGAGTAGCTGGGATTACAGGTGTGCACTAGCAGTGCCTGGCATGTTCCCACATGGTCAACCCATCAACCAGCCTCTCCATGCTGCACCCTGTCTTCTGCCCTCCCCGCCTCTTCATGTAAATAGCATGTGGCCCCGGCCACCACCCTTTTTGGCTTAGCCTGTTCTTTTGTACTCAAAAAATCACTGGCAATCACCTGCCCACTCTGTGATCTCTGCCGTTTCTGCAGAGGTTGAGGGACAGACATGAGACTTGCTCTTTTTTGGGTTCTCCTCACCACACACACTTCTGGTGTGTATTTGCCTGTTTCTACCCCTAAGGAAAGGTACCTGTGTGTCCACACTCTAGCTCGAGGTAGAATAGCCTGGCAGAACTGCCACTGCCACTGGGGCCCATGTCCCCTCAAATGCAGAGCTGGGCGTGGCCACAGAACACTTGCACCTGAGCCTCCGGGGCTTCGCTTCCACTTTGAGCTCGCTAGGCAATGGCCTTGGTGTGACAAGCTTGCAATGCAGCACCAACATTCTTCTCTTCTTCCCTATTTCTCTCAAAATAGAACCATTTGGGAGAACAATTTTTGTATCGCCATTCCCGGCCTGTTTTTGACCTGCTTGACCTGGACGGGGAGATGAATATTGAGGCAGCCAACTTCCAGATGTACAGATTTCTCTTCAATATTAAAAAGCAGGAGCTCAGAGAGCTCTTCCATGACTTTGACGTCACAGGTGACTGTGTAAGTGCAGCCTGCGGAGGGCTGCTTTCTGTTACAGCAATGGCAGAGCCGGGAAAGGAGGTGGGGAGGACCTTACTCAAGTAGGCACACTGCACAGTGCAGGGGTCAGAGGAAACGAAGTGCTCTCTCGGCCCTGAGAGAGGAAGGACTGGTTCCATGCTCCATCATTCCGGGTACATCTGAATCATGGAAGGTCAGGGAAGGAGATGCGGTGGTGAGGTGGTGACTGGTATGGGGGAAAGGTTTATAGGGTTGAATAAAGTAGAAAGGAAGATATTCTATGGCAGGACCATGTAAGCAAGATCGTAAGGGGAGGAAGGGAATAGTGTGCCTGTTAAAGGGGAAGTCTGTTGGGGAAACAAGGGGAAGCCAAGGTTGACCCTGATGGATTGCACTGGGAAGGCAAAACCTGAGTTGCAGCCTGAAGTGCCTGAATTGGACCCAGGAAACTTAAGAAAGTGGCCCTGGTCTCATGGTTTATAACAGACCGACTCCTCCTGGGCACAGACCATGACTGTGTCCTAATTACTGAGCCTTAAGTTTACAAGTTTCTAAAAAATGATTACAATTCTATTGTCAGCTGGAACAAAGTGTGAAACCCTTCCTGAAATTATTTCTCTTTTTCCCCCAACAAAAGCGTCTTAATTACAAGGAATTTAAGCTGTATACTATCTTTTCTACCGACAAAGCCCGGGAGAAGCAGAGAATAGGGAAAGTGGAAGAGGAAGGGGAAGAGGAGAAACAAGAGAAAGAGAAAATGAAACTGAAATCTCTGCTCATAAAGAAAATGTTGAAACACGTTGGTGTGAGCCAAAAAAGCCTGTTGGACAGAATAAGATCCAAAAGCAGACAGCAGTCATTAAAATTGTAGACGTCTCTAAAAATAAACGAACAGCATCCAAGTGAGCATCTTTTTTTGTTGTTTTGTGGTACTTGGACTTGAACTCAGGGCCTACAGCTTGAGCCATGCCACAAGCCCTTTTTTGTGATGGATTTTTTTCAAGATAGGATCTCATGAAACTATTTGCCTGGGCTGGCTTCAAACCCCAATCCTCCTGATCTCTGCCTTCTGAGAAGCTAGGATTATAGGAGTGAGCCACCAGTGCCTGGCCCAAGTGGATATCTTTACGTTGACTTTGTACAGAGGGTCCAAAGGAGTGCTCCTCTGTCAGCATCAGCAGGGTCTCACTTTTAACAGCCTAGTGTCCTCACACAGAGGAGGTGATCTTGCTGCTCACTGAGCTGAGGTTTTACAAAGAGGCAGATCACCCTTGTATACAGAGTAGCAGTTAAAAACCCAGAATAAAGGCAAAGACAAAGAGAAAAATTTAACATTTTTTTTTAAAAAAGCACAAAAACCCTACATACTAAAATTATACACATCAAGTATTGGTCCAATCTTATACTGATCTATTAACAATTAAACAGCACCATGGTTTTCTCACCCAGTTAAACATGCACAGAGATCTGTTACTCAAAGTGTATGTTCCTTTAAAATAAAAAAAAAAAAAAACTCTAAAAGAGAGGTCAAATCCTCAACAAATAAGACCTTGTACAACCACAGATGACTGATGACATCATCCAACTTCCCTAAGAAACAATAGGTCTGAACATTTTTTTCCAGTTGGGGAGTTTTGAGAGATGCTGCTATTCAGTGTGGCACTGATGTACGGCCCTGTATGCTATAAGGCAGTGTGTTGAAACACCCTGCACCTCCACCTCTGAGTATCTAAGCTCTCCTTTGGGGTCAATGCTGGCGTCTTCCCTTCTTTTTTTTGGTGGTGCTGGGGATTGAACCCCGGGCCTTGATGCTTGTTCCCTTCAATTTAGCCTCAGTCATCAGCGAATTTAATTGGATGTAGTCATAGTCTTTAAAACAGCTGAACAAAATTAGGGAAGTAGTTAAAAGCTTTTATAACCATACCTTACAATTACAGATATTTAATCAGGCTACAGGAAATTTAATACAATTTTAAACGTACACTTCAGCTAATCCGCAATTTCATTTGGTGTCTCACATCCAAACAGGTGTGGAGGTTTGTATTTCCCAACAGAGAACAACACAGTGACTCTTCCCTCTGCTTTCCATCTCACAGACCCTCAGGGGTACAGTGTGATCAGGTGTCGGCCCCTTTCTGAGGCTCCAAATTAGATGCAATCCTTTTCGGCTCTATCTAGTCCCTATAACAATCTGCCTCTTTGCTAGAGAAGGTAAGGGAGGAGGACAGGCACCCCCATGACTGGAGGTAAGGGAGTGGAAAGCATGGAGGGATCTCACTGCTGATGCATGGATGGCACCAGTAACCCTTCCACAATGGAAGTTTTCTCTAAAGGACTGCAACAGGCACTGTTCTCCCAGGCACAGATAGAATGGTTTTTCCTTATAACCTTCCTGCAAAGTGGGGGATGCAGGAAGTACTTGATGTTGGTACCCTGGCCTGGGAACTACACGAGGGGTCAGAGTTAGCTATGCAACTGCCTGAGCCGAGCAGACAGTGAAGGTATTCTGTAGCAGTGGCCTTCTAAGTCTGGATATGAAAAAGCTTTGCTCTATGGACATTTCACAATAACTATGCAGAAGAGGGAAAGGGACTTTTCAACTGAACATCATCTGAAAATTGTCTCACTGCACAGACTGAATTGCTGCCGAGTGTTCCAGAGGGTGCCTGCCACCAATGTGCTGGGAGGCAGGACGGTTTAGTGAAAATGAAAACAGGAGCACACATGAGGGATGGGAAGCAACTCCCAGACAGGACTGCCAGTCTCTACTCCTTGATGGCTAACCAAGAAGTGAGCTACAAATAAACACCAGAATAGAAGCAAACCTCAAATACTACGCTTTTCAGAATCCATGAAAATATAACAAAAACCATAAGTTTTGTAACCGTTATTGATAGTTTCTGGAAATTATATAATTTGGTATATTTTAAAAATTCTGCTTTGAAAAGGTGCTCGGTGCTGTTCTTCATGGTGCAGTGTTCCATTTACAGTTCAAATCATTTAAATGCAGGCGTTACATAGTTGTTGAGTGTTTTAAAATAAATGATTATTTCTTAACTGTCTCGCAAATTAGGGACTGTAATTACATGAGTCTCAAAGGCTGGCTCTTTTATTATTTTTGTTGGTCTCCATCACAGATGGAATTTTTCACTGGTAATTCCTCAGAACTAAATCCATTCATAGGGAATTTAGAGCAGTGAAAATAAATTTCGCGCCATAGACAGGAAATGACAACAATAAAAAGGAGCAGAGGGACCCGGACCCAGAGACAGGACCAGTTCAGTTCTCAACTGGTGTTGGGTTCTGCAGAGGCTGGCTCACTATAACCTGTACCACATAGTCCTTTGGTATCTTCAGCTCCTCCAGCTTCATCTTGTCAGTGAGGGGTCTTCCAGAAAAGAACCAGCGCTGACTGCCTGGCTCCACGCCTTCTGCCGCGTGCAGCCGTCTCTTCATGTGGAATACCGTGTCTGTGCTGCGCACCACGAGCTTGAGGTCTTTGCCCGTGGAAAGGCGCAAACGCAGCTGAGATTCGTACCCCGAGTTGGGTGGTGGCTCAGGATTGTCCAGAGTCTCTATGTCACTCTTCTCCTCTATCATGTTGATTGGTGGGACCAAGCAATAGACTGGCAGCTGGTACCTGTTCCCCAGCTCATCGTAGCACTCTGTAAGCGCACCTTTAGAGAGAAGAGGAGGAAGAGTTCAAACGAGTACTTCCGCTTACAGTGCGCAAAACACTCAAGTGTCTCTCCATAGCATGTCACAACAAAGACAAAATACAGAATTCAGGCACTGCAGGTGACCATCAGCAATGATGGTCAAATCCCATGCCCAATTTGAGTGTTCACCTAAGTTTACATTAGCAAGATCCACACGCCTCTTACCCACTCTTCTACACCATCTGATGCCCAGTACATAATCTCAGTAAGACACATGGGAATGAACGCGCTCAAATTTCAATCTGAAAGGGGGAATTTAAATTACCTTGGGATATCTTTTTATCACATATTCAGCCACCTTAAACAAACAAAAAAAGAGAGACGGATCCGAAGCCCAACTCAACACAGTAGTTTCCCTACTGCCCAGACTCCTCAATTGAGAACTACAGTTGACCACAAGACCTTGGTCCAGAGAGATGGCTAACAAGAGAGGGAGGCCATACCAGGTGCTCCCACCCATTACATTAGCACAACTACACAGAAATGACTGACTGCTCTGTTCAACCTCAACTTGTCTATTGCAGCAGAACTCAAGGGTATGAAGTTGGTAATGAGCTACCTTGGGGGGAGGGAAAAAGTATGTGTGGTTTAAACAAAGTATTAATGGTGGCTCATTTCTTTATAAAGCATAATCACACTATAATTATCCAGACTTCCTTGGGGAGCTTGAAAGCATAACTTAATTAGTATTTTAGGACTACATATGACATGTCCTTTTTTCAAACTGGAATATTAATATCACTTATTGCTCTTGTTATTATATCAGAAATACTTAAATACAGGGTAGTGAATATAATAAGTGGGACTTGAGAAATGGTACTGATAAACCCATGTCTTTGATCACTGTCAGGAGGACTGAGTACAAAGCATCCAGAAAGAGACTGGAATTGGTCATGAACCAGCCATGGGTCTGATCTGGTCTAAATTACACTAAGATCAGGGGGGTGACAGTGAGAAAGCCCAACTCTTTGTTTAAGGACTTGGTTTGGACTTCGTGTTGTTCATTAACACTGCTAAGACACTGTAAGAATGGATCTACTTCAAGCACAGTTGTGCTCATGAGCAGTTCCCCCACCAGAAACACAATACACTGCAGCACCAAGCTACGTACAAGAACAGGTAGTCAGTTGTGCACACTAGCTTTAGATGCCCTAGTACTAAAGACCTGCCAGTACTAGTCTGAAAGACGGCCTGAGCATCAGGAGAACTAGGAAAGACAGACTGGAGAGTTTGCAATAGACCCATCTCTTGTTAGGTTGGTGGGGGTTGGTAATGTCAGCTTTGTAGGTATGAATAGCGCATTTACATAACTGTTCTGCTATTAAAAATTCTCGTAGAGAGGCATCATACCAAATCATTATCTTTGTAATCAGGAGATCAAGAAGAAGTTTCCAGCCTTTTCATTAACTAGCTGTGCAACCTTGAGCAAAACTATTTAACTGAAGTACTTTCTCAGTCAGCTAAATGAAGCAACATAAAACTGTCCTATAAAGAAATGCCTAGGTTTATACTAGCTTCGATATCTTGATGCTCCACATCACATAAAATACAACAGAGGTACAATAAAGCAGCCAGGATGCAGGCAGAATGAGGTCCTGTCTACCTCTGGCACAGTCTCGAAACAGCAGTGTATGCCAAGCTCAGAACAAATGTACTATCTGGCATCTGAAGAAAGGGGGTCTAGACACCCCTTTCTCCACACAACGCAAAGAAGTCATGTCTTGTACCTTTGGGCCCAACATGTCCAGGTTTAGTTTTGGTTTTCAAATCTCAAATGGATGTGAGAGGAAAAACTCCACGGAAAAAGGGTGATCCTCACCTCAGGCTGCCCTCATCTTCATAAGGTTGGACATAAGCTGTCTCAACTCCACACTACATATAAGACCCATATTTTAATGTTTTGGGGAAAAATAACTTGTTTTTTGTTGTTGTTTAATATGAAGTTTTCTGGTTTACTAACTCTTTCCCTCACTTCCACCTAAAAATTATAATCTGAGTTATAAATGTACTCTACATTTAACTAAACATTAAACTAAACGTTAAGAAATCTCAATGTCTTGATTAACTAGGTTTCTAGTCTGGCATGTGAGAACTCGTAAGTCAACGCTCCACCCTACAAGTAAAGTCTGAACAAAACTGAAAAACCAACTCTTCTCAGATGTCGAAAAGAGATGAAGTCACAGGGCAAATCACGGCCCAGGTGTACTGGAACACAAGCCTGGAGCTGAAACCTCTGTGAAGCCAGGGTGATTGGCAATCGCTAGGGGTTCAGCACAAAGCTTGGAAGACCAAGTTGCAGGGATGCCAGTATGGGAGGTGATGGGGGGGCTATTGAGTTTTACTCCTGGAGCCCTACCACTTCCTCACAACAAACACCAGAGAAAAGTGCACTGTGCTTCTGGCAATGGGCACAAAAGGAACTATTTTAAAATAGACCAGAGCTTTCTGCCCTCAGGAGAAACTATTTAATTAGAGCCTAAATGACCAGGGAAAAGGAAAAACTTGACTGCAGCCCCCTCCAGCTATCCAGTCCATCTAAGGTGCAATGCCACCTGAGAAGCACTGGGTGAAGTCTAAATCAGGCACAGGCTCCCAAGAAGACTGTGACTTAATGACAGGATTGTGGAATGCCTTCTTCCACCACACTTGATTTACAGATTATGTGGGAACAGTTCCTTTTACCCAGTACAGCATGTCCATCTTCCAACAAAAAATTACAAGACACACTGAACAGCAAAAAAAGTTTGAAGAGAGAGCAAGCATCAAAACCAGACTCAGCTATAGCAGGGATGTTAGAATTTATTAAAATTCTCATCAGTGTGCTCATGTCCCTAATGGAAAAAAATAGAAGCATGCAAGCAGAGAGGGATAGGGAAGCAGAGATGGCATGCCTAAGAAAGAGCCACAAGGAAACACTGGATATAACAAACACTGAGGCAGAAATAGAAGCTGCTGTGATGGCCATGAGCAGGCTGGACATGGTTGAAGAAGACTCTCAGGAAGAATGACTAAAAGTGAAAAGCAAGGAGAAAGAAGATGGAGACAAGCAGAATATCCAAGAACTGGGGGGGGGGGGCAACCACAAAAGGCAGAACTTATACGTAATGGAGTGTAGGAGGAGAAGAAACAGCAGAACTATTTCAAATGATTATGACGGAGAGTTCCCCAAGTTATTATTGGACACTCAGCACATAGCCAAGAGGCCAAGGGAGCATCCACAGGATGAATGCTGGAAAAGCCACACCTAGATCCATCATTCTAGAGTACAGAGAATAAGAAAGACAGGCTGACACACATGTGCACTTAGAGCCATCATTCTAGACTACAGAGGAAAAAGAGAGATTGACACAAGTATGCTCCTAGACCTATCATTTCAGACTACAGAGAATAAAGAGAGCGAGAGACTGACACAAGTGTGTGTGTGAGTGTGTACAGAGGACAAAAGGAAAAAAAGAGAATTACACCTGGCTTTTTTAGAAGCTGGGTAATTATGCAAGAAGTGAGTAGAGTGAAATATTTAAAGCATTAAGAACCCACCAACTAGAACCTGTAACCTGTGAAAGTACCTTCAAAAGTAAGAAAAACTTTCTCAAGCAAAAATTGAGAGAATCTGTTGCAAGAAAATAGTAAAAGAATCTCTTTAGACAAAAGGAAAATGACATAGGTCAGAAAATGATAGGTCAACATAAAGAGCAGTGGGGAAGGAAGGAACCAAAGTAAAATAACTTTGGTTTTCCTTTTTAACTGATCTAACATGTCCGTTCAAAACAACGGCAACAGCGTGTTTGGTTACACGTGTGCATGTTGTACGCATGCACATAACCTGAATGAATGAAATCAAGGCTACAAGGTGCATAAAGAATTAGCACGATTTTGCTGTAATGTACTTGTGCTGATTTTGCTGTAATGTACTTGTGCTGCCAGCACAGCAGCACAGTGCTGTGGGAAAGTGGACTTAGTTACAAATGTATATTGTAAATTCTAGACAACTACTAAAAACACTAAAGTCAGTATACCTGACATGCTAAGAAAGGAGAGAAAACGGGATCAGGTAAAGTTCAAAAATCTAAAAGAAGAAAATGAAAGGCAAAAGCAGTGACATACATGGCAGACGTAACCTAACTACTGACACTGAACATCAGTGGTTTACATCTAACTTATTTTTTAAGAACTGTATGGCCTACTTAGAGAATGGGGCAGAAAGGGCAGTTTTTAAAGTGTGAGATTAGGACTTTAAACAACTTGCTGTTCTTACCCAAACTGAAGAGTCACTTTGTCAAGAAAACACCCTATCTCTTTCACTCTTGCTCTAGCTTTTCTCAATTATTTTCCCAGATTGGTATCAAGGAGAATACCATCAGTGCTGGTGGACATTAATGGCTGCCGTGGGTATATTATGACATTTGGTTTCAATATGGTCACTCCACTTCTGTTCCTGGCAGCCTGGTTCACTTATTTAATTAGCAACCTTCACACGCATAAAGATTCTCATATGTCAAAAAAACCCAAAACAATAAAACCCTATAAAACATCAGTGTTGTAAATGCACCAATAACCAGATAGTCAGAGGGGAATGGACGGGGTGTGGCTCAGTGGTAGACCACCTGCTTAGCATGCAAGGCCCTGGATTTGATCCCCAACTCCACAAACACAGGAAGATCAAATTAAATCCAAAGTAAGCAGAAGAAAAGAAATAACAGAATCTAGAGCAGAAATCGATGGAATTGATAACAAGAAAGCAACAGAGGAAAAATCAGTGGAACTAACCAAGATATAAGAGGACATAAATTACTAACATTAGAAACAAAAGGAGACACCAGTGCAGATCTGTGATATTAAAAGGTCTGTAAATAAATCCTACGACCAACCTCACACCCACAGATTTCACAATCTACATGAAATGGACTGACTTCTTGAAAGACAGAACTTGCTAAATTGACACAGGAATAATCTGAGCA